ATTCAATTTAAATATTTAATTATCAATATTTTAAGTTAAATAGACAAAAATGTTAAACCATCTTTAGTATTTTTCTTTATCAATCAAGCTGCATTTTATAAAAACTAACTTAATTTGAAAGAATATTTAAATGTTTTAAATTGTAATTAGTATATGCTAGCATATATTTTAAAAAAACTCTCTATCCCCTGAGCCCTGAGGCAAGAGCTCTATCCCCTGAGCCACCACGACTTCCCGACTTTATAATTAAGGCTTATTATGGTAATTGTGAACGTTATAACCTGTAAATTATTATTAAAATATTTTTAAAATATTTAATTTGAGAAATGAAAATTTTTCATCACTTTATCATTAAATTAAGTTTTTTTCCGAAATTTAAAATTTGCTGTCTTTCTTCTATTTATAGTCTAGTTAAGAATTTGTTTTTGGTATATATACATGAATGAAAAAAACAAGCTGAATCATGATTTACTTTGTGATGTAAACTGCTGTTGAAAATGGTTATTAGGGAAACATACTTCTTTATTAAAGAATTATTTTATTTTGCTTTGAATAGCGCCATAGGAAATACAAATGCAATATTTTATAAATGCTTGATCTTTTGTTCAAGATATTATTATTATAAATATTATACTTTTATTTTATAAAAAATTCCATTTCTATTCCATTGACATTTTACTTGAATTAACTTCATGGAGGCAACCGAAAGGTTAAATAAGTTATGGATTACTAAATACAATCAGTAGTTTCAAAATTCAGCAGTGGCTAAAAAAAACACTAATTAGCTGAACTTCTTTCAATCTTCCACGGAATCCTAGGGTTCCTCGGAACACCATTTGGGAACCGCTTTCTTAGAGACCAAACCAAAATTAGGTCAGAAAAATGTTTTAAGATCAAATTCATATGACGCTAAGTTTATTAAAAAGGAAGATATATTTCAGAAATGAACATAAATGAGATTTCTGGTCTTGTTTCAGGTATTTCTAGAACACTATCATTTGTCAATATTATGGAATTCAATAGATTATTTCTAGAAATATTACAATTCTCTTAAAAAATGCCATTTCCATTTCATTGGCATTTTACTTGAAGTAACTCCAGAAAGGCAACCGAAATATTAAATAAATTACGAATTGCTAAATATAATCAGTGGTTTCACAACTTATCAGTGGTTATGGTTGGTTCTAATGCCACTTGCCACACGGGCAAGCCTGCGGTGAAACCGAGCAAATTTATGGCAGAGTGTGCATTTCTTGTTTTTCAGTGGAGCCATCTATGGCCAGGAATTCGACTTCTGCCACACCGTACGTCGCACCCGTTTATAGGGCGGATCCATTCATACATCCATTCATTCATCCACAGATCGTAATTTTGACCTGAATCAGAGAACGATCGATCTCCAAGTCCAATCCGATCTCCAATCCAGTACCCCACGAACTCTCGGACATGGGCCTAGCGCCCTACTGACCAGGCTATCCCTGCTAGTAATAAAATGTACTAACTCGCGAAATCCCTTTCACTTTTTCACTCTTTCCTCTTACGACATTTGCGAACCGCTTTGTCGGAGACCCAACCCAAATTACGTCAGAAAAATATTTTAAGATCAATTTCATATGACGTTAAGTTTGTTAAAAGGGAAGATATATTTCTGAAATAAACATAAATTAGACTTCTTGTCCTGTTTCTAGAACACTATCATTTGTCAATATTATGGAATAATTTATTCTTTAGCCGAGAATATTATCGCAACATTATATGTTCTTATAGATGCAGTTTGGTGGAAAATCACTAACTATCTGACTAAACTAATGCTTTCAGAAACCTAATGCATATTTTATTACTGTTCACAAATGCTTTGGTATTGGTCATAAACATTCATTTCAAGCGAAGGGTGCTGTTAATAATGAATTTTTATTTCAAATTTCCATTGAACTTGTGTCGTTCTCGTATGTAATTTGTGAATGCAAATTATTCCAGTCAAATAAATATCTTCCTTTCTGATGATTTCAACGCACGCTACACTGTGAAAAGATGTACTACATAATTAACATCAATTGCTTGCGCATTTAATCCTTTTGTTGGTGGGGTTCTCTCTGAAATACTCTCGATCACGTATCCCTGAACATTCCCTTATATGCGTTCTAAGCGAATATTGCCCATGAGAAAAGATTCGGCAATGTCTCTTTTGTTCGAAATGAGAAAGAACCACACGCCAATATCGTATTTCTAGTGGAATAGCAAAAAGAGAGAGAGAGAGATAAAAGTCAATGAATGAATGGTTGGTAATTCAGGTTAATTTTGAGGTCGGAGAAAGCAGGTGATTGAAATAGAATAGATGGAATTAATTTTTATTTGAAGACAGGGATTAGAGATTATGAATAGAGTTGTCAAAATGAGAAGCAAAATACTTCTCAACATTTTGAATTTTTGCAATCATTTTTAGCGTAATACATTTTTTTTAAACGGCTGATGTAGCATTTGGTAAAATTGCTTCAAATTACGGTGAATGATTATTGCTCTAAAATTTTTTGGCATTGACTAGGAACAATGTGTTTCGCATTTGGAGGTACAATGTACTAATTTTATGTTATTGCTGAGCAAAATAATAATACACTGCACTGCAAAAAGTGCCGTATAAAATTGCGGTAAAACGTAATACCGAAAAATACATTTTTACCGAAACATGTGACGTTAAGAAAATCTAATATACCGTACTTTTTGCAGTAATAATTACCGTAAAATAATAGAATCACTTAAATTAAAAAAATATTACTGTGAAAATATTATAATACATATACTATAATGTATATATTACTGTAAAAATATTGTAAATATTATATATAGTTATATAAATATTACTATATTCTGCTGTATAATACGTTACGGTAATAATGATTTTTATGGTAAAATGGATTTTATGAAAGATGCACCCTAAGTGCCGATATTTTATACAGTAATTTGATCCGGAATTTTTTACAGTGTAGTTATGTATAAGAAAGGTTTTTTTTTACGCTGAATGCAATTAAATAGAATCAGAGCAGATAGAAATTAGTAAGGCTGTATGAATTCTGAGTAGAATGAAAAATAAAACATTTGCAAACTCTCCAGTTCCAAAATTTTTAACAGTGTGTGACAAATAAAATTTAATAACTCGCACTCACGTAAATATTGGTATCTTTTGTTTAAATTTAAACATGTACAGAAAAGTAATCTGTCATTTATCAAATAGATATTAAATTAAAATAATTAAAATAAAATTATAATTGAAGTAAAAATAACTTTAAATTTTTTCATAAATTAAAATAAAATTTTAATTTATTGAAACAGGCATATCAAAAGCACAAAAATGCATACATCATATAAATCTGACGATAACAATTGATCATTAAAAGCATGAAACCATTTTATGAAAATAACAGTTAGTCTTTCAAGACATAAGAACACTTCACGACAATAACGCCATACGAAACAAAAGCATCGCATTAACATCTTTTTGCAAAGATGTGCCTTTTTCCTTACTTGCAAATTCTGTTTAAAAAACAGGTTTGGCTTAAAAACAGTTTTCTGTTATTTATTTTCTTTTTTTTTTATTAAAAACAAAATAAATTTAAAGAAACATACGTTTCAAAACATACAATTATTTAAATCTGACATTAACAATGCGTCATTATTTGAGACAAGCAAATATCATAACACTGCCTGAAGTTGCTTTCCATTTAGAAGAAATGATATCTTCTGAGTTTAAAGCTGTATTCCATTCCTTTTGACAGTTGTCCAATGGTTTTTGACGATGGATAATTAACTGAAAATGACACGCTTTGTTACTTTTAAGAGACGATATTTCTTTTAAAGGCCTCCCTCTTTATTCGTGTAGTTACAGAATGTCTCAATGACTCGAGTCCTTAAATTTTCTGCGGAATTGCAACCTGAGAGAGGTTAACGGGGAATAACGAAACTAATTACTCATTGTTAAAGTTTATGTCGTTTGGGTTTTACGAACGTAGTATGTGAGAAACTCTCGAGCATTATTTCCTTTTTTATTTAGCTTTCCTTTCTATGAATCAAAATAGCGAAAAGTAACTTTTAAACATAATTGTTTTGTTTGGCATGAAAATAGTTTCTTAATAGTCACTATAAAGTGTAGCATATTAATTTTAAAATTTTTATGTTATTTATAAATGATGTAAATAAAATACAGTTATTAAAAGTAGCTAGTATAGCAAAAACATGACAGCAACTGTTTGAAGTAAGAAGTATGAAACAATTTAAGAGAAAATTATAATAGGAGGAAAAAAAACATATTTAACAACATAACTCTATTAATGCAATTTTAACAGTATTAATAAAAATCAGGCCTAGAAATAAAATGATTCAAGTTATAAAAATATTCTGTCTAACAAGACAATTATAAGAGTTTTTTCAAAATACGAGATAACCAGTCCGATTAGAAAATTTTGTCAGTATAAATGTTATTAAATATGTTAATAAGAAATATTTGCCACATATTTTTAGCAAAATAAGAGGTAACCAATGTAATTATTAAATTTTGAGAAAGTAAATGTTATTAAACATCTTGATTGCAAATATTTTCAAGCTTACTTGTAGTTTTTGAGATATCTAAGTAAATATTATTATTAATTTACGTAAAATGACAAATGCAACGAAACATTTAAAATAATTGTCTTGAATAACCTCCTAAAAATATGTAACTATATTATATCATATCATATGGGATTTCTTTAGATTTCCCTAAATCTCTTGAGTTTTTGTTCAATAGGGAAATGCGAATTGTCAAAATAATTGTCAATTAAAAATTGTACAATGAACAGCAATATATTGCTGTTTAGTGTTGTTCAAATAGGTTGACTTATTGAAATCCACCTATCTTCTGTACACATTATGTTGTTTTATCTTATTTCTTGTCTTAGTTTTCAGCTTTAAGCTCTCATTTATTTAAAATTGATTCCTAAATTAAGATTTCTAATTCCATCTTTTTAAAGGTGATTTGTTGGTTGAAACTCCAGAAACAGCCTTAAGCAACGAAGATATAAAGAGTATCCCCCTTCTTTTAGGTAAGAATATCGTCCATATTCTGCTTCAAATTGTTTATTTTGTACCTTTATCGTGATACATACATCGGTGTAAATATTAAATACTAAATATAAAATACCTATTCATGGATTTACATTTCTCATTTAAACAATTTTCTATGATACATTAGAAGCATTTTAGTACTTATATTTTCTTAGTTTCCTTGTTTGAATTATGAATGAATTTAAAACACTATTTTATTTTGTTATTTGAAGTTCTTTTTTTTTGGGGGGGGGCTATGAACAGTAAGATTACTTTTGATACTTGAATCTCAAACAATACATCTAATGAATCGCTATAATCTTATAGAAGTTGTTAAGTCATTTAATTGGCAAAATTCAATCAGTTTTAAAGACACAAGGAAGAATTTTAACTATTTAAACTTTTTACATTTAATTTGAGGTATTTTTATTGAAAGGATTTGAGAGTATTCATTTTTAATATACTCGGGGAACTAAAACTCTCTCTTTTGACGATTCTGCAATCCCTGAGCAGTATTTTCTTTATTTTAAGAACCATTTTGTCACGAAATCACGTGATTTGTGACGAAACGTGAACTCTCATATATGACGGAAATGTTTTCTCAACTTGGACAAATGTTCGCTCAGAACAAATATCAGGAAACGGTTCTGTCAAAACCGAAATAAGTTTCGCGATATTCGAGTATCATTTTTCTTTACAGTGTAGTAAAAAATGCTTGTTCTTTGTGTGGAAAATAGTGTATGTATTGTTAGATAAAGTGTTGTTTAAAATGTATTAAAATGTACTAAATATTAAAAAGTATAAATCTTCAAAGTCAAATAGTTTGGTTTGAAAACTTTTACAGTAAAGAAATGTATGTAATTCTATTGGGTTCTTTGGAAAGTAATTTCGTTTTTTCCTTATGAAAAGAAAAATATTTTTTTTAGTAAATAAATATTATATTGAATTTTATATAGTCCATTCTGGCCAAATTGCTTTCGCAATCCTTCTGGCAGTAGCATGATTTCTAACCGATAAAAGTTTGTAATGACCAGAACAAATATTGTAGACGACCCATTTAACATTCCTATTTGTTTAAAAATACGTAATTTTCTTCATATTTGAGATGCAAATCACAGATGTCTAATGCGACGGCATAAATTTATTACCTAAAGAACTTGAGGAACCCACATGTCGAGCTTTGAGATTAAACGTAAGTGTTTCAAATTACCATGAACGGTCAAATTTGACAAATTTTATCTTTCAGCAATCTCACAAGTTTTTATTTCTATCCTGTTTTGCACCAATTAATGCCTTTTATTGTGTCTTCATCAGACATTACTGGTGTGGGCAAAAGGAGTCTTTAGACTATGACATCCTTCATCTATCAAAAGGTACATCAAGATTGAATTGAGTTAGCATGTCTTATGTACTAGTCAATTGATGTTTAATAATCGAAGTGGCAATTATGCCACAATACTCCTCCACCAGGGATAGAATTCGATAAACGGATACCATTAGTTGCCGTATTTACGAAAGAACGAGAGAGCTGTATTTTAAGTTCACCGGATTTTGAGAGCTTGTGGTGAGAGCTGTATTATGTTCGCGGTTGTGTGTGCTGCCTCTCCAGCGTTACTATTAGCAGTCGAGTGTGTTTAGTTTCCCGTTGCATGAAAATGAGACTGAGAAGCAACAGCGTGAGGAGGACGATGACGCGGTCACAAATGGCAAGTCGAATGTTCAATGTGGATCATCCTTTGATATGGGCCTTACTTTCGATGTAAGCGAGTTCATGTCACGTCCTTAGGTCACAATGTGGGGAAAGGAGTCTTTAAACTACGTCAACCTTCTTCAAGAGGTAACTCAAGATTGAATCGAGTTAGCTTGCCTTATATACTAGTGAATTTATGTTTAGCCACTTTCTTCTCGCTCCCGTGGAAATGACGGGGTGAGGTTTCGCCCTCTATTTCTCGCTCCCGTGATATTTACGGACTTGAGTGCTCAGTATTAACGCGCCAATAAGAATAAGGCTAATTCATTTCTTTTGCCCGGAAAACATTTTATTTCTCATTTTACACACCAGATGGCAGTACCAGGGAATTTTTAAGGTAATTGTAGATAGTTAGTTTATTTCAAACTTGATGTTAGCACTAGTCAAATACGTAATAGAAATACAAAAGCCAAAAAATAGGCACTTTTACGACCGTTTTCTTGAAAATTAACCGATCGTTAAGGGGTTAATAATCATAGTGGCGGTTGCGCCACACTGGCCTAGTGCATCTTAATGCATCTGAATCGAAATTTTGTCGGATTCAAATTTTGCAAACCAGTTTTGTCACTGGCGTACTGTCAATATATCTTTTCCATACACATCGGATAATTTTTTCTTCTTGTTTGAACAGCATTTTAATCTTTTCGATTGCAACAAAGCAAAATATGACAAAAAAAAAAATGCTGCTTTTGACTCTCCATATTTTAAAAGAGCACCAACAAAAAACTGCTGCGTAGAATCAATTGACCTTTTTCTTTAGTAATCCTTTCTCTATCAGCCTTCAAAATTTATAATGATCTTACTACTTAAGTCTGAGGTTGACTGTAAAAAAATGCTATTAAGTCCTCTGTTGGGAAAAAGCGAAATTACTTTCCGAAAAACCCAATATATATCCCAACGCACTTTCATTCTGATATTCACAGGGTTTAAAAAATAATGAGTGTATTATACCAATGAATTAAATATAAATTATCAAAATTACGAATATATGGTTATAATATCAAAACTACCATTCGATACCATTTTATATGATGTTAAAATGCAGATACAGTTTAAACTGTCATTATAGGATCATCGGCGCAAGCAGTTGACTTTTGGCCTGGCCCAGACGACCTTTCTACCTGGACGTGGAATCAATATAAGAAGTACGTCACAACAAGTCTGGACAGCTTTGGTCTTCAAGTCAGTCAAATGGCTCTTCAAATTTACAACGGAACATCATCTCAGGCAAACAGTAAGTATATATCGTAGAATATTGCTCTAAAGTATTCATTGATCATCAATTCTACACTGTTAAAAAAATAGAAAGTGTATCAGAAATTAAACAATAAACCATCAGCAAGATTCGAGCCTGGAGAAATTATCTTATCCACCGCCAACTCAAAACGTCTCGATGTTTTATTTATTTTTTTCACAATTATTAAAAAAACTAGTATTGTCATACGTTGTAAAAAAAATTCGGATTAATTTACGTTGTAAAGTACCGGCACTTTTGGTGCTTCATCCGTAAAATTCATTTTATCGCAAAATCAATTTTTACCGCAAAATATTATACCAAAATGTTTGCAGTGATTTTTATTTAATGGGAGTGATTAAGTAATTATTACTGTTAAAAATATGATATATCATACATATTGTTTCATAACATGTTCCAGTAAAAATGAATTTTAATTTAAAAAGTACTGTCATTCTGAGTGCCGGTACTTTTTCCGTAATTACTTATTACCAGAATTTTTTACAACGTATAGGATGAGAAAAAACTGTTGAAGTTTTCCATTTCAACTAATCTGAACAACTTTTTCAGCGTAATTTATTGCAAAAATTACTTATGACCTTTGAGATTACATTTTATAGAAATATTTACAAAAACACTTTCTTGAAGTTTTTGCAGTAAGCGCTTTTTATCAAATGAATAATGTGAGTGTTTATAAGCAATAATGAGATGTTTTTAGTAATTTTTCCTGTAGCATGGTAGAGGTTTACCGGAAAGACTGAATTTTAAAATTATAATTCTTATTATTAAGCATTTAGCAAAAATACAAAACTGAAAAGTAAATTTAACCGAATAAATGGTTTTCATGCCTCTTATTTAGTTAAAGGTTATGCTATTTATTCGGTTCATGCTCTATGGTATTATGATAAAATTACTAAAGTTTGCCATATTAACTACCAAACAGCAAGGTAATAAAACCATATTTTGTTGTAAATTTGACCTTAAGTCATTACTTAATCACTTCGGTAAAAATTGATGATCTTTTTAGTATTCAAGCCAGTAACACTTGCCTTTTTGTCTTTTTAGTATTCATTTAGAGCCAGGAACACTTTAAATTTTACTATATTCTGGTAGATTTGGCAATGCTGTCTTTCTCAGTGGTTAAATTAAATAATAACTGAATTAATTAAATTCTGGTTTATGATTATTAACTGCTTATTATTATAGCGATTCCTGACTACAAAAACATGTTGAACGTGTCTTAAAAAAGTCTTAATATTTGATAACCCAAGTGACATCAATTTTTCACATTTCGTGTGCTTTTTATTCGTATAAATATCAGACAAAAAAACTTATAAAATAGAAAATTTTACTTGTTTCTTGATCCTTGAAATGTTTCATTAATTTTTCAATTCATTTCTATAAAAATCTTCCTTTTTTTAAGAAAATAAAACATGTTTTGGTTTGAAAAGAGATCAGCTATAACGTTGAGCATTATAATTAAAAGAATTAAAAACTTTTAAATTATTGATACTTCCAAATTCAAACTTAATATTTTTTTAAATATTTTAATATATTTTGTCGCCTATTACACAATGACATTGAAAAAATGTGTTCTGTAATATTATTTTCAATATTATTCATTATTCAAGTGAAGCTGCTTTCATAAATTTTATAACCTGACAATATTAACATGTCTTAAGTTCAAATGTTTTGACGAATAATGTCGATAATATTTCTTTATGAAACAATTAGAATAGAAATGTAGAACTTCGCAACTGAAATAAATACCGGCTAAAAAATTTTTTAATTATTACATTTTTTTTTTTACATTTTACATATTCATGGACTTAAATTGATATGAAAAGAGTTAATATGTACATTTTCAGATTCGAAATGCGTTTTGAAAATCCAGAAGTAAAACAAAATATGTTTGTATAAATACAGATTAATTAATTTTCAACAAAGGGAAATCTCAACAAATTTTAAAACCTGTTTTGATTTTTTTAATATTTTTAAATTAGAAATCAGTTAATATGCAACAGATTTTAATTAGATGCATTTTTTTGTCTTCAATTGATAAACTAATTTAAACAAGTTCGTATTTGTTATGTAGTTATTAAAACTCCCAAGCGCTTAAATATTAAAATTAGAAAATTCTAGCAATACTTAATGCTTATTTTTTTAATGCATAAAATGTATTTTAGCTCATAATGCAAGTGCATAAGAAGTACAACAAATATTCTTTTTTTACTTAATTCCTATTATTAAATTAGCACACGTGTCAAATGCTTAGACGTTTTATTGAAAAAAAAATTTAAAGAACCTTATTTAAATAGTTTATTTGCATAAAATGTTTGAAAAAGTTAATTTTTATGAAATGCTCAAACAAATGTATTAGCAACAAACACATTAAAAATTCAAGAGCTTTTTTATTTTAATTATTCAATTTCAAATTATGAAAAACTGATAAAATCAGTGACAAATTGCTTACAATTTTGTATAAGTAATTGTGTTAATTATTTTCGCTGTTAAAGTTTTGAAAAACTTCTTTAACTATTTAAACGAATTGAATATTTTCACAACAATGAATTTTGTAAGAACAATATTCAGAATATGCATTGAATCAGATAAAACTAATTTATAACACTGTATAATCCGGATGATTTTCTTACTAGCAATACAACTAGTTTAATAACATAAAAGTTTATTTATAGTTTTAAAAAAATGGGAAAAAATAATGCCTCTCAGACACAGAATCCGTTAATTCAATTTTAACATGTTAATTGTATTCACAATTTTTAAAACATCGTAATCTTGATGTATATTAATGTACACACAAAAGAGAGCAAATTAATCATTATCATGCTCTAAATCATTCTTTGTGCTAGATTTTAAATTTTTATTTTACCCGAGAGTTTTTAATAAATCAAATGAAATTCTAGTCAGTAAATTAATAATAGCAATAATGAAATTACTTTTAAACGTCCCGCAATGAGAAAAAAGTATCGTCAAAATGACCTGAATGTGGTAAAATTTGCAGTGTTTCTAGCTCTATGAGAGCACCAAAAAACACAATTCTTTTCACAAAAGCCCTTCGGCAAAATTAACCATAATTTTTTGTTTATGTGTGTTAAAATTTGGCACATTTGGTAAAATTTGGTAGTTTTGTCATGATACTTTAGAGCATGGTATAAAAAATTTTTATTTGGTGAAATTTATTTTACAGTTTTAGATTTTATTAATAAATGCGTGGTAATGAGAGCTATAATTTTTAAAACCAGAATCTCTGGTAAATCGTTACTACTTGAGCAGAAAGTGTTACCAAAGGAATGGTTTAAATGATTTAATTAACCAAGATTAGATTTTTTTTACCAGAAATGTCATTACCATGCAGTACGTTAATTATACCGAAATTTTTCTCCGCGTTCTAAATTTTGGTGCTCAATTAAAAGGATGTACTTAACATAGATGGTGCAATAGAGATAGCATTAGATGAAAGGAGCAATGGTGTAATATTTTTTCTTATTCTAAGTGTAGGCAAAACCCATTAAATGTAATATAATTCATTAAATATTCCTGAATATATGTACATATAGTTCAAATAATGAAAAATTTCATAACCTTTCAAAATGTTCAGATTTTACGAAAACTTTAAAATGAACAATTTTGCCAATGTTATTTTCTATTATCCGCTTTCCAAATATTTTCTGAACTAGGACAACAAAATTTGAAATTAATAAAGGCAACTTTGTAAGTATGAGTATTTTTTCCTGCATGAACCATATTCGTCATATACTTTAAACTAAACAGATGTTTGAAACTATGTAAATCATGTAGGCTAAACTTCAGAAAAAGGTTTATCTCCTTTTTTAATGAGTTGGTAGTACTGAAATTCTTATAACTTTCGCAAAATAAATTATTGTCTAGAATTCCTTCGATCAAAAATGTTGTATTCCCATTTAAACGTGAAGTATCAAAATTTTTGAGATAATTACTTAAATATGGATTAACCATTCAAGATAAATAGCAGTCTTTTGATTGATTTTTGTATTATGGTTAACTTAGTTATCGTTTCTTTGCTTTCAAAAACTACATTATTTTTTTAACTTTAAACATATGCTAAAGAATTCCATAAAAATATTTATAAAAGTTTTACTTATGAACTTTTGCTTACAAAAAATGGTATGGTATTTCAAAAAAATACATGCTTAAAATATTTTTTTTCTTATTTTATGTCTGCATTCTTGACATTATGGATGGCATTGTCAAGAGCTTCAAATCTTGTATAAAAATAACATCAAAGTCTTCTTTTCATTCCTTTAAAATGCTCTAAATCAAATTTATTCTTTCAATGTTATGTTGTCATTCTTATTTTCAAAATAACCAAATAAGGCGAAGTTTTAAAATTACCACATCATGCAGGTTCTTTTTTTTTATTACGTCTCTCTGACAACTAAAATATTGTCCTATATTTTAAACTATAAATGTAAAACACGTGCAATATTTCTTTATTTCCTTACGCTACATCGTTTATAAAGTCTTTGATTAAAAAAAAGTAACCTACTCTAAAATACTCTATCCTTTAAACCTGTTTGGCTGAGTACGAGCATATTTATATTCTATTATTGTTACAACACGTTTTATAAAACGTATGAATGTCGTCTATCAATTGTTATTTACTTTGATATTTGAATTCTTCCTCTCGATTACACTATTCAGCAGTTTTCATAGGATTCCAAAAACATTGATACAATATTTGCTCTTGAATTTTCCTCTCATCGTTTCGTCGCTTTCGCTAAGTTTCGAATGAATTTCGAAATGGTTATGCAGTTTTGATATAGAGTATATATATATATATATATATATATATATGGTTTTTATTAAAAAAGTATATGACAGGAAAAAAAAACCTTCTAAAACCCAATTTCCAGTTATATATACAAAAAATTTTTTAATTTTACATACCCTATACTAATTTATGCTACAAATAGCGAGATAAAATTCAATGAGAATATGCC